CAGATTGAAGAAAATAAACGAAGGCAGGAGGAGGAGAGAGAGAAAGAGAGGATGGAGGAAGAGAGGGAAGAGAGACGGATCGCAAGAGAGAGAGAAACTATGAAGAAAGAGTACGAGGAGGAGCTGGAGAAGAGGAGAAGGAAAGACAGAGAGGTTCGTTCTTAAGCCCTGGTTGAATCTTGTAAATTCCAATTATTGGTTTTAAGCAGAAGCTCAGGTTTTGAACCTAATCTCTATTGAACTCTGGGTGTTGCGTCTATGAAGTCACCCATAGGTTTCTGAAGAGTAAACTGGAAGCTAAATGTTAGCGTAGCCAGTCATCTTCATCGTAACAGAGCGACACTAAGGGATGATCGAAGGGAGGGATGCAGGGTTCAAATTTGGATTCTGAGGTCTTTGTTTTGTTCTGCCTCCTAACTTTAAAACCTTTTGAACAAGGAGAAGGAGAAGAGGACGTCGAAAGTCAAAGAGGTTTGTTCTGAAGTTACGGTCGAAAGCAAATTCTAAACATGTTTTTAAACAGAGAAACACAAGTTTTGAACATAAACTGTATAAAACGAACTCTGTTTTATCCATGAAATGTTTCTGAAAGTGAGTTTGATGCTAAACGTTAGCGTGTTCTCGTAAGAAAATCACCTTCAGTTCACTTGCAGCAAAGATTGAGTCAGAAAGAGAAACCAGCGATGAGCGTTTGAGTTTAGGTTCTGATCGAGTGAAAGGGGTCAGGAACTTTATTGCTTTATGCCGATCAGAGAGCTTCGGCTGTACACAGGTTGTAGTTTTTATATCAAAATATTATTTTTGAAGAAAATTTCATTTTTCAACATTCTAATCATCCGACGAGGGAAATCAGTCCAAAAATTCTGTTGTGTGATGCAGCCTTAGGTCACGAGGGTCAAAGACAGTTAGTTAAAGTTAACAATATTAAAATGTTTTGCTCAAAGCTGAATAAACACAGAACATGCTTCAAATCCTTTAAACTTTGGAGATTATTGCTCTGTGGCTTCATTGATGTCGGGTTAAATACAAATACATTTATACATTTGGCAGATGCTTTAATCCAAAGTGATTTACATTTCAAGGAACATAGACATGTGGTTAGTTGTTGCCGCCCCTCGGATTGAACCCATGATCTTTGCAGTTCTAGCTGGGTTACATCTGTTGCCCTCTACGACGTGAAATGGACAGCTATAGTCTTAGTGAAGAGAATCTAACAGTTTGTTTTCTCTCTTTCCTCGACAGACAAACTTTGTGTCTCCACCTCCTTCTCCTCCCGGCAAGAGTAAAACCCTGAATGCCTCCCCAGCTCCTTCCGCGACGTATGGAAGAGGGAACGTGTTTGAGAAAGGGTTCACTGTTCAGCAGCGCTACGATGATCAAAAGCATCGGGATTTCTTAAAGCTGCAGGTACTGAAGAGCAGAACTCCGTCAGATTAAGATTCCAGAGTCATTATGCTTTTGGCCTGCCGTCTCACTTTATCTCTTTTTGATGAACAGATTGAAGAAAAGAAGAGAAGGCAGGAGGAGGAGAGAGAGAAAGAACGGATTGAGGAAGAGAAGGAAGAGCGAAGGATTGCAAAAGAGAGAGAAACTATGAAGAAAGAGTACGAGGAGGAGCTGGAGAAGAGGAGAAGGAAAGACAGAGAGGTTCGTTCTTAAGCCCTGGTTGAATCTTGTAAATTCCAATTATTGGTTTTAAGCAGAAGCTCAGGTTTTGAACCTAATCTCTATTGAACTCTGGGTGTTGCGTCTATGAAGTCACCCATAGGTTTCTGAAGAGTAAACTGGAAGCTAAATGTTAGCGTAGCCAGTCATCTTCATCGTAACAGAGCGACACTAAGGGATGATCGAAGGGAGGGATGCAGGGTTCAAATTTGGATTCTGAGGTCTTTGTTTTGCTCTGCCTCCTAACTTTATAACCTTTTGTTGAACAGCTGGAGGAGGCAAGAAAAAGACAAATTGAGCTGAGGCAGAAAGTGAAGGAGACGGAGACTCGGCGGCTTGCTGACCGAGAGGAACTGCCAAAGAGGAGCGAGCCAGAAAAGTTGCCGGAAATCAAAAAGGTTAGTTCTGAAGTCATGATTAAATTATGCAAATTCCAAACCTTAAGTCTGGAGGGCCAATCTCAGTTCCTTGAAGGTCACAACCTTAAACCGTTAAGAATAAACCTTCATTAAACACACGACATGCTCATCAATCTTTGAAGTGTGTGTGTTGATCGAAGCCAGGTTCACATACATCTTCATTTGTGTATTTGGTAGATGCTTTTGTCTCGAGCGACTTACATTTCAATCAAGGAACAGTTTTGATTAGATCTTGCTTTCCCATGAACCCATTGTCTTTGCTTTGTAAGCAGAGTAAGCTCTTGGATTCCAGACGCTGAAATAGAAATAGACAAAAGTTTTTTTTCTTGGTCAAAAGCATCTAATGTTTTTTTTCTTTCTATTTTCAACAGGCAAAGTCCATTACTCCTCCTCCTTCTCCTCCAGTTCCTGCCTTGAAGAAAAAGCTGATGAGTTTGGAGACTGCGAATCCCACAGCAGGACAGATTTGTGCTGCTGAGAAAGAGAAGATGCTAAAAACTTTATCTGGGCTACGAAAACAGCTTCAGAGCCGGCAGAAGGAACTTCGGATGGAGATGAGATGAAACCTTATTATTATTACATCTTATTACTATTATTATTATTATTATTATTATTATTATATCTTATTACTATTATTATTATTATTACTATTATTATTATTATTATTATTATTATTATTATTATTATTATTTGGTTACCTAAGGAAGGGCACGAAAATGTATTTGCTTATAATGATGACTGCTGGAGTGATTTCTGGGAGCGTGAGTATTTCCTCCATTGCAGAAGGCCAATGGTGCACGGGTCATTGTGCAGGGGTAGGTGATTTGATCATCAATCAGCTGGGTATGTAACCCCAACTGAACCTACTCTCATTCTGTGACTTTCGAGGAGCCGAACCCACTTACCTCTCGGCACCTCTAATTTACTGACCTCAAGGGCACGACTAAAGGAATACGTCTCCAGTCCCTCTTTCAGGGAAGGGTGGGTTACACGAGTAACCAAGATGTTCCCTCAAACGTATTTGTCGTAATGACCCCTAGTAAAAGGCCATGCCCGATGTCCTTCCATTCAGGCAGACACTAAACTTCAGGGGGTGTGGTCTCGAGGTGTGCATTCGAGACTCAAGTGAATAATTAGGTGACTTGAGACCCAACTTGACAATATGGCAAAAGACTTGTGACTCGACTTGGACTTGAATCATAATTAATATGCATTTCTGTCTGTGCAAGTTCAGCTGTCGTATATTTCCGTGTCAGAGACAGACAGACAGGCAGACAGACAGACATGTGACTGGCTGTCCCCGCTTTCACTCTGTTTGGGTGAAGTGCACATAGCAGAGCTTTTTATTTTGGAATTAAATCTGGATTCAGCAAAACAAAAACCAGAATTCGGCTTCTGCCTTTTAGATATTTGTTTCGCTTGAGTCCCGTCGGCTTATCAGATTTTAACGGCAGACGTTAAACATTTTTACCAACATTTAAAACTCAGTGTCTAGTAAGAGGCACAATGTTAAACAAACGGAGCATAAGAGACTTTTCTAAAAGACAAACTGTAAGTAACTCATAGAAAAAAGCAACATTTTCTTTTCAGGAGTTTTCAAACACCTTAAATTCACATTAATATCTCAAAGATATTAATTTTTAGAGATTATTTTTATTTTGCTATTTTCTTAAGGTTTTTAATTTTTTTTTTCTTTATAAAGGTTTAAAAAACCCACCAAAAATCAAAGTTAAAAAGATAATAAATATGTAGTTATATGTTTTTAGATTGATAAGCAGCAGCCAGTCGTCGGTGGATGCTTAGAGAGGGAAGGAGTAGGGGTAGGAGGATCACTAGAGCCAGATCATATATCTGTCCGTTTTAGCCCAGTACAACAGAGATAACCATTTAAACACGTAAAAACAAACCCTAAATTTCAATGCTTTAAAGAATTCTTTTATGTTCTGGAAAAAAACCCACCAAAAATCAAAGTTAAAAAGATAATAAATATGTAGTTATATGTTTTTAGATTGATAAGCAGCAGCTAGTCGTCGGTGGATGCTTAGAGAGGGAAGGAGTAGGGGATGGAGGATCACTAGAGCCAGATCATATATCTGTCCGTTTTAGCCCAGTACAACAGAAATAACCATTTAAACACGTAAAAACAAACCCTAAATTTCAATGCTTTAAAGAATTCTTTTATGTTCTGGATTCACTAAAGTCATGTCGTGTAATTTATGATAGTGATTTAATCGGGGATGGGAATCGAGATAAGAATCAGAAATATTATCAATTATTACTCTCTCTGTTACACACCATGTATACACAACACCTAAAACCTCACACCTAAATATTGTCTTCACAACTTTTTATTTCACTTAAATTCAATGGGCCGAAGAGCTTAAGGAATGAATTCCAGGTCCATGATGGAGCAAAAAAATGGCGCTGGCATTTTAGGACATGGCGGCCCATCACGGTAATTTACACGCAGCATACAACACGCCCGAACATTGTGTTGTGTAAAAGAAACTAAAGTATTCCAAAGTAGCCAGCATGTAAGCAAGCTCCTGAAAAGTAAAGTGTTTCTAGAAGCACAATCACCATCTTGAAACAAAGTTTGTGGTGAATCATGAATCTGGTCTCAACAGGTTTTTGCGAGCAAACGTCTGGAGAAATTGTCATGAATTTTCAGATTAAATGCTTTGATTTGGTGGAATTTAAGGGTTGTACAAACAGTGGTGGATCTTTTGGAGTGGTGGAGATTTTTTGTGAATTTTCTTGTTAATCCTGAAATTTGAGGCATTTGAATATTTGTATTGAGACTTAATGCTTAGTTTTTGGGCGTTTCTGTGGTAACATACGATTGCAATACATTTCGCAGGCGTTTTTATCCAAAGCTATTTACATTTCAAGGAATGAAAACATTTCTTGAGTTCTTGCTTTCCCTGGGGTTTAAACCCATGACTTTTGTGTTGTTGGCGCAAAGCTCTACTGACTGAGCCTCAGGACAGATATCTATTGCTTTGTTTTGTTAATGACTGAAAGTGACTTGAAATTAAAATTTAGCGACTTTTGGACTTTCTTAAACTTTCCCTCCATTTACTTGGACTTGTCTTGGAACGTGACTTGTTAAGTTCCAGAATGCAAGGTATTCCAATCTGTTTAGATTAGATCTAATATCTAATGCAGTGGTACCCGAGATACGAAATTAATCCGTTCCAGTGTGACGTTCGTATCTCGAACATTTCGTATCTCGAAGCAAGTTTTACATGTAAAACGCATAATCTGTGCAACGGCTCTCAGAAACAACAGTTTAAGTTGATAAAAAAAATGGAGAACAAGAGAAAAATCAAGTAACGTTTCTTTAATCCTTAAATCTACACATTGTTAATGTAACAAATGATAAAATGACAGAATTAAAAAAATTGCATAATACGTAATATATTCACAAATGTGAAACCCCGGAGGAGGTGAAATGGAACGGATTGCAGAAAACATTATGACACTATCTGTCCTGAAAGTTAACTTTCTCGAGATATTTCACGAACACCAACACGGTTTCATGCGCAGACAGTAACGAAAGCGTGTGTGAAGGGATGGAGAGAGTCAGGGCTCTAGAGTGCGACCAATTTGGTCGCATATGCGACCTAATTTCTCAATGGTGCGACTAAAAAAAATCAAAGGTTGCACCGGTGCGACCCGTCGTTCGAGGGGGAAAAAAACGAAACTCCGTCTACGGCCGGTCCGCCTCCTGCGCGCGGCTCACAACACGCGTATCACCCATTCATGCGGCTCAATACGCGCCTATCGCGGCAAGCGCGCCGCTCAATTCGCGTTTACCGCGCCGCTGAAGCCTCAGACGCGCGCAAACGCGTCTTTGCATTGACTTAACTTGGAAACCCTCCGCGCTTACCGCGCGAACCACGTTCGATGTGAACTACCTTTACAGCGGCAGGCAGCTGCAAACAGATCAGACGAGGCCGAGATGATAAAGTTTAATGTTGCCTACAATATTGCAAAAGAACTCCCCTTCACTAAATTCAAGTCCGAAATAATTCTTATGAAGAAAAATGGCTTGAACGTTAACCCGACGTACTGCAATGATGTCGCGCGCACTCAATTTATAGAAGTCATCGCAGATACATTGAAGAAAAAGACGTCTGTGCAAATTGTGAACAGTGCGTACATGGAATTCCTGATCGACGGAGACACATATATCGCCAAAAAGGAATGCATCATTGTGTACGGTTGTATCTTGCGGAAAGGAAGACCGGTGAATTGAACTTGTCAATATTGTCTATGGACAGTGATTTAAAAAAATTAATAAATAGATAACTAAAAAAAGTGAACTTGTGAAAATGCTGTGTTAAATGTGATGCAGTTGAAAATTTGGGTGCACCTAACTTTTGTGCTGGTGCACCTAAGAAAAAAATTTAGGCGCACCAGTGCAACCAGTGCAAAAAGTTAGTCCAGAGCCCTGAGAGTGGTTCTGAGAACGCGTCACTGGGTTTCTCTAACCTGTGCTACAGAGCAGCACTTTCCACGTTATAAACGTTATTTCTTTTACGACACCTTGACTCTAAATTTTGTTAAAGCACATTATTAGTAATCTATACATAATGTTTCACTCGATTTAAAACTTTTATCCTCGTGTGTGAATGGAAGAGAGGACCCGGAAGCGCAGCACGACGTCAGACTTAACAAGCGGAAAATAGAGCAGAACTGTTGTTGTTTTTCGTATCTCTGAATCTTTTTCGTATCTCAAAGCAAAATATTTCCCGAGAGACCTTTCGTATCTTGTATTTTTCGTAACTCAAAGCATTCGTATCTCAAGGTACCACTGTACTTTCAGACCCACACTGAGTCCGCTCCAAGGAAAAGACAGAATGAGGGTATGAGGAGTCCCCGTACCGGATATTACGACTGTTCCTGTTAATCTTCCTGAAGTTTAGTCTCTGCCTGTATAGACTGACCCTGGTATCGATACCTCTTATTGATCTTATTGATACTACTAACAGTTCTCTTATCGGTACTTTCTGTTGTGTTTTTAATAATAAAAAAACATTAAGAAAAAGAAAAACAACACTTTATTTTTTAAATGCAAAATAGTTATCTATACTAAACCGATTCACTTTGGCGTGGGGAACATATCGTTTTGTATTTTCAATTTTTATTGGCCATTTCACACAAATATTAACATAAAAGTGCATGGATTGTATATGGCTGTATTTATAATAGTTTGTATAGAGTGGACGCGGGTGCGGGCGGTACATTTCTCAAGCGCGGGATGTAAGACTATTCGCGGAACTAGATGTTTTATTAAAAGCAAATATTGTTATTTATTTACTCCACAAAACAAACAACAATGACGACAATAAAACCGAAACGATTTACAGGAACGATGTGTTGTTTTTCCGATGTATTGGAAAAGCTCTTTATTCGTTAAAAATGTGTCTAAACACAATCCGAGTGAAACAGCCTCGTTACAAAGAACGAGAGAACTACTAGTAACTGTAGAACGAGAGAAACCGACTGTAACAAATTATTCTTTTCAAATAAAATTATTACCTTGTTTTTACAATGCGTTACCAAAAAACTCTGCGTCTATATTAATTCCTGCCAGTTTAATTAAATGTAAATAAAACATAATTGTTTTCCATTTCTATTTATTTATAAGAAAATGAGAAACGGATGAAACAAACAAAGCACAGTGTCTCTGTGTCTGCGCCGACGAGCATCCGTCACATTAAACAGAGAGATGATCGTTTTACTAAAGAAAGAATATCCGATGCTCGACAAAATCATTATTTATAAAACATTTTCGTTTTAAAAAAAAACTGAATATTTAAAAATAATCTGAATGTGTTTATTAAATTTTGAACATTATAATACTTATCTAGAGAGATCTTAAGTGACGTTTGTGTCGTTATTTTAACACCGCACACCGAGGGGACGGATGGTGAAGTAGATGCCTGGCTTTTCTCTGTCTGCACATAATGCTCTTTGTTTTGATCGATTCCTTGTGTTTCCGACTTGAAGATAAAAAAAATCTTGTTGCATCCACACGGGTGAAGAATAAACATAAACTTTGGATCGTTTTACTTTCTCCGCTATCTGCGTTCTTTAAGCGCGAGCTCTCGTACTGCGTGCGCGTGAACTCTCTTTTTTGCAGAACATACATTTCGTGCGAGAGATTCCACATAACGGCCGTGCAGGTGAATAATGAATATCATCACATTACACAAGGCTGGTCAAGTAAAATCTGCTAGGTAATGTTTTTATTAGCAATAGTATATAGGATTTCTTTTCATTTCTCCAGTACCGATAGCAGAACTGGTAACATCAGACCTTATCGATACTCTGGTCTTTTATAATTGGGCACCGGGGCTGATTAAGTACCGGTTTTCGGTACCCTTCCCTAATTACAACAAATACGTTGTAGTGAATGACTGGAGGGGAACGTATTGGTTACTCATGTAACCCACCATTCCTTGCCGGAGGGAATAGAGATGTGATCTCTTTGCTATGCCTTTGAGGTCAGTGAATTTGAGGTGCCGAGAGGTAAGTGGGTTCGGCTCCTCGAAACTCACAGAATGAGAGTAGGTTCGGTTGGGGTTACATACCCAGCTGATTGATGATCTAATGATCAACATCTGTTCAACCACACGTGCATAATTGTCCTTTTGCAACGGGGGAAACACTCACTCTCCCAGTGATCGTTCTCTCAGTCTTCATTACAACAAATATGTCGTAGTGACCAACTGAAACGGAACCAACCAATAAAACATTGGAACATTGCAGTGCTCTCTGACTGTTTTTTTAAATATTGTTGGTCATGCCAAATCTTTTTTTAAAGATTTCCTAATAATAGAGGGTACAGGCAAGGCTGCCCCATTTCTCGATTTCTATTTCTGACAGTAGTAGAACTTTTAAATAATGGAATTCACTTTTAAACTAATCACAAAATTTAAAAACAGGAAATTAAAAAGTATCTTCTTACATGACCAAAGTCTATCTTCTTACATGACCAAAATCAATAGACACTCATTGGATGATGTTAGTATTTACAGAGGCCCTGTACACGTTTAAAATGTACATTTATGTATTTAGCAGACGCTTTAATCCAAAGCAGTTTGTTACAAGGTCAGATTAATCGTAAGACTTGAACACAGAAGACGTTTGAGCTGGAACAGAAAATAAGTTCAGTGCTTCAGAGATTTTTTTTAGTTAAGCATTTAAAATATTTAGCTATCAAAAAAATTCCGAAAGACAAATTTTAAAGGGTTCCACCCCATCATAAGGCTCGCCATGATGACATTGATATGAATATTATTTTTGAAACATTTTAAATTGTTGGCCCCCCTTAGCTTTTGCCTAAACCACATAATGGTTACGACCCGCCTCGTAAAATTTCTTGGTTATACAAAGTAGAAGTTAATGAGATATTGATACACATCCTACAATGAACCATATTCTTCCATAATTTGGATTAAATTTTACGACTTAAAACTACTCTGGAAGAGTGAACTATTCTTAAAAATTCAGTATAGAACTAAACCTTTTCTGAAAGAACATGTCATGCAGTGGAATAGTAGACAGAATCCAACTTTAATGCGAAAGCTGAGGGAAAGATGATTTACCGAACAAAAGATAAAAGTACAACAAAAGCAACCAAGAGGGGCTAACCCTAAATAACTACAGCCTCCTTCAGGGGAGAGCACTCTACTAATAAAAGAAACGAACAACTGATGAGATGTAAATCACATTCAAGGATTCAAAGTGTTTATTGTCATATATAAAGTGTGGAAAGCAAGTTTCCCTGTACAATGAAATTCTTACTGAATAAAGACAGAATATAAATATAATAAAAATATGTAAACAGTATAAAATAAAAAAAAGTCAACTTTAACAGTGCAAATGTATGTGCAACCGTGCAAAAAGGAGAAGATGAGTTCTTATATATATATATATATATATATATATATATATATATAAAATAGCAGCAGTGACAG